ATGTGCCCTGATATGTCCTATAAAAATTGGATCTTTTCTGTCCCAGATTAGACTTTGTATAGTGTAAAGCAAAGAGAAAACAGTAGAGGAAGGGGAAATCCTACCAGCATCTTCAAGGAATACTATAGCATTAACTATATACTGACTATCAGAAAATAAATTAAATACAGAATCTTTAAACATCACAAAAGCTTGTGATACTGCATTAAGCTCTACCTTTTGAGCTGATTGTTTGGGTACTAAAAATGTAAAAGTTTGATCAGGGGTTACTACTGCTGCTGTACCATTATTTGACCCATCAATGAATACATTTGGAGCATTCATGATAGGTGTTTTTCTTGTCATTTTTGGAAAAACTACAGGATGCAAAGACCAAAAAGACAACAAAGGATTAGATGGTAACTGATTATCAAATGAAACATTAGATTTGCACATGATTATTGCCCAAGTATTTAACTCATTAGCTAACTCATCAATTTGATTCATAGTATATGGAGTAATAATTTTATTGGGAGAAATTCCAAACACTCCCTTTGTTGCTTTTATTCCTTTGAGTATTAATTGTCCTACATCCTCAGGATACCTAGTAAGAATAGTGTTAGGAGAATAAGAAAAATGTATCCACAATAATGTACCTTCTTGCCAAAATACTCCTTTAGGAATATTTTTTGTTGGTATTATAATAAATAATAAAGGCAAACATATCAATTCTATCCAAATGCATATATTCCATATATGTTTCAATAAATTTTAATGCCTTTCTTGCTTCAGGCATTAACATGTGGGGTAAATTTGGATCTGATGGACCTTTTAGGATATCAAATAAAGGTCCCAACTCTCCTGTTGGTATGCCTAGATAAGGCCTTATCCAATTTATGACTCCTAATAACTTTTGAAAGTCATTAAGTGATTTGAGTTGATCTACTCGTATTTGAATTTTTGGTGGACAGACCATGGTTGAGGATAATGGAATTCCTAAATAATTAATTGGAAAATTTAATTGTACTTTATCTATTGCTATCTCTAGATTATAATTTTTTAATAAGTTTGTAAGTGTGGCATAACGTTCTAGCAATGTGTTTTTATCTTTGTATGCTAATAATACATCATCCATATAGTGAAATATTTGTAGTTCAGGATTTTGATTTCTAAGTGGCTGGATTACTTTGTTAACATAAATTTGACACATAGTTGGGCTGTTAGCCATCCCTTGAGGGAGTACTTTCCATTCATATCTCTGATCAGGACCTTCATGATTCACTGTAGGGATAGTAAATGCAAAACGTGGAGTTTTCTCAGGATGAATTGGAATTGAAAAAAAAACAATCTTTAATATCTATAACTAAAACATACCAGTTTTTGGCAAAGCAGACAATTGAGGAATCCCCAATTGAGCAGGTCCCATAATAACCATCTCATTATTAATGGCTCTTAAATCTTGCAATAATCTCCATTTACCAGATTTCTTTTTGATGATGAAAATGGGAGTATTATGGGGAGATACAGAAGGTTGTATATGTCCTTCCGCTAATTGCTGTTTGACCAGGTCATGGGCTGCTTGTATCTTTTCTTTAGTCAGGGGCCACTGAGGAACCCATACTGGTCTTTCTGATTTCCAAGTAATTTTTATTGTCTCAGTGACCCCTTCTGAAAACCCAATCCATGTCTGTCTGTTCCTTGATCTATTTGTATTGGTGCTGCTATACCTTGTTCTTGTTCTCCTAATATTTTTCCTTTCCTAAAACCTTGTCTAGCCATAATAGTGGGTGCATTTGGATTGATGTTATTTGTTAATGTTAGTCCTAATTGATCTAGAACATCTCGTCCCCATAAATTTACGGGAAGATGATCCAATACATATGGCTGTATAGTTCCTTCACATCCTTCAGGATCCTTCCAATCTAATACCACTGCGCTTCTATGGGGATTAGTCACCACTCCTAGGCCTCGAAGCATTTGAGTGCCTTGCTGTAATGGCCAATGTTTTGGCCATTCTTGACGAGAGATGATGCTAAGGTCTGCACCTGTATCCAGTAGCCAATTAAATTCATGTCCTTGAATATTTAGTTTTAGCATGGAGCGAGAATCTAAATTTAAAGAAAGCATGGCCGAATCTACACCTGTGGAGCCTAATCCCCTGGAACCTCTTTCTACAGTACGACTGGAAAATTTATCATGTAGGCTGGGTATTATTAGTAACTGTGCTATTATATCTCCTGGTGAAATTACTGATATACCCTTTGAAGAACTGGCTATAATTTTTATTTCACCTTTATAATCGGGATCAATTACCCCAGGACTTATCATAAGTCCTTTTAGAGTAGAAGAACTGCGTCCCAATAATAAGCCTACTGTTCCTTGGGAAGAGGTCCTTTTACCCCTGTGGGAATGATTTGAACTCCCATCTCTGGAGTTAGTACTGTTCTGGTGGAGGCGCAGTGTCCAATCCTGTGCTTCCTCTGGTTTGTCTAGTGAGGGATCTAATGGACAATGTGTCCTGGGCACTACCCTGATGGTGTTGCTGGGTTCCTCCAGTGCCCCATATATTTGTTGTCTTGAGCTCCATTTTTTGGCAATGGAGCCCGATGCCTTTCTCCACGATATTGTGGATAGACACCTGGTCCTTGTTTGTTTTTTGATAACGGATTACCCTCTATGGTGGTTTGAGAATGGCAGTCATTAGCCCAATGTCTCCCTCTACAGCACTGTGGGCAAATATCCAGTATTCTGCTCCTTTGATACCTAGTTTTGTTAAACCCTCCTCCTATGGGGCAATTCCTTTTAAAATGTCCTGTTTGTTCACAATTGTAGCATGTGTTTGGCCTGGCATATAAAACCTATTGTACTGCAGCTGCCAAGACTCGCCCTTGTTCATTAATGTCTCTACATAATTTAATATATGTGTTTAAATCTTCATGTTCCATGGTCTAATGACTTCTCTGCACCAACGATTCACTTGCTCATAAGCCAGTTGTTTTATTAATGGCATTGCTTGTTCTGTATTCCCAGAAACTCTGGTAGCTGTTTGAATAAGCCTATCTACAAATTCAGCGCAAGGTTCATTAGCTCCTTGTATTACCTTAGATAATTGACCTTGTAAACCTCCATGTCCTTGTAAAGTCTTCCATGCTCTAACCGCATCTACAGCAATTTGTGAGTATATGGCAGGATCATATGCAATTTGTTGCTGCTGACCCTCAAGGTCCCTTTCCTAACAACATATCTAGATTTCTCTGAGGATAACCAGCTGCTGCATTTTGCCTAGTCGTCTCCTTGCAAAATTCCTCATTGGAAACCTTCCATAACAGGTATTGTCCTCCATTTAGCACAGCTTTACACATACTAGCCCAATCTGCTGGCATTATGTTCAAGTTGGTAATGGATTCGACCATGCTTACAGTGAAGGGTGCTTGAGGACCATAAGTTGTTACAGCCTCTTTTAGCTGCTTCACTGTTCTGAAATCTAAAGCATGGTGAATTTGCTGCCCTCCTGCCTGTTCAAATACAGGGCATGTTAATATTTGAGGTCCTGTCTCAGGATCCCATCTATCAACTGCGGGGGTTGGGGGCCTTCCAGCATATGGAGGTGGCACTGTTGGTTGGACACTTACGCCCTCCGGAGATAGAAAGGTGTTAGTAGCAGTCTCCTGTTGCAACTTTTCCTCTGATGGCTTTTTCTGCCCTAAATGTTCTTCCTCTGTCTGACTAACTTGAGAGACCTTCTCTTTTACTTGAATTTTTTCCTCTGTGTGACTAGCTTGAGAGACCTTCTCTTTTACTTGAATCTTTTCCTCTGTTGAACTATCTTGAGAGACCTTCTCTTTTACTTGAATCAATATGTCTTCTCCTTCCTCTACCATTGTCTGAACTGAAGGCTTTGAACTAAGCAAACAAGATACAAATGTCCACAATGGCAATGTGCCTACTGGCAGAGTCCCTGGGCTTTTCTTTTCTATTCTTTTTAAATCTTCACCATGATGGTTCCATTGTGATATATTTAACAACTCCTCCTTAAAAAGCCATGGGCTACATTTATATATTATATCAATGTATGCCCTGACTGTTCTTGATTTTATTGAGATTCTTCCTTCCTCTAACAATTTACTTAACACTTTTTCAGTTTGTTTTTTACTAATTTCGGATCCCATATTTCTACTATAACTATAATACAACCCAACAAGATAACACCAAACAAAACTGAAACAGAATGAAACAAAAGTGGAACAACAAAAAATCATTATAATAGTCTTTCTATCCTCCTGAAACATCCATCCGTCCTTTCTCCCTATCTGTTCCTCAGACGCAAATAGTTTTTCCTCAGATGTGAGCGGTTTTTCTTCTGTCTCACTCATCTCCAGGGACAGGCAATATAAAACAAAAGTGAAACAAAACAAAAGAAGAATCTTAAAATGGCTACCCATCCTCTCGCCCTGCCCTCAGGGACGAGCAGTTTACCTTATCACTTACCCTCTGTCGTTCCCCGCGCGGGCCAAAAAAGGCCGCAGTCTGGCTGCGCACAATTCATGAGCCACTTATCAAGCAGAAGCGAACTTTATTTTTAGAACACACATGCCACACCACACGAGCTCTTCAGGAATTCCCTCAGAGCCCAACTGCCACCACCAGCTTCCCACAAGCATCTCAACGCCCGCACTCCTCCTACTCTTGAGGCTAATTGGCTGTGTCGAGTGGGCAGAGCCAAAAAAAAGTCCCCCAATGAGCAGCTTTGTGGTCTAACAGGGTGGGGAAACAGCCCAATGAGCATCAACACAGAGGAGCCAATCAGCTGGCAGCTGGAGTTTGCAGGGGCCTCTGTGAGCCAATCATCAGCTGGCAGCTGGAAGTTTGTTGGGGCCCCTTCCTCTGTGGCTCTCAACAGAGGGTCACTGTATGCCAGGCACTGTGCTTGGTTATGAAGTTGATGTCCAATTCCCTAGGGAGCTTGCAGTGTTGCCGGACAGGCAGAGGTCACCAGATTAAGGGGTTTGATGAAACTCCTAATGGGGTGCTGCTGAGAGCACCTGACCTCACCTTGAGAGACCAGAGAAGTGGTCAGTACTTGTACTGAGCTGCCCTCTTACACCCAGAAAGCGAGGTGGAAAATGGCCTCTGGACTCCCTAGTACTGAGCCTAGGAGGGTTCAGAGCTCCACCATGGAGCAGAAAGGGAGGAGAGACTTAATACAGGTCTGACTTTCTCCTTTGTGACTCTTGCCTCAACTTCCTAATAGAATCCTTCAATCTGGAGGATGGGAATGCAAGCAGCTTAGAGGAAGTCAAGGAAGAATATGCCAGAATGTACTCTGGAAATGACAGGTAAGATGCAGCAACCACAGGAGAATGAGAACCTGCTGTCTTGCCCCTTTGGCCTTGGAGGCTGCCTCCCAGTAGTCCACCCTCCCTCTACGTGCAAGATGGTCAGGGGCTCTGCTCACTCACAGATGTCTGTCCTGGGTTCTCCTTTATCTTAAGTGCATGCTTCAATTTATTTTTACAATTATAAAAATGATTATTACAGAAAATGATTACTATAGAAAGTGATTATTAGAGAAAATGTAGAAAATACAGAAAGGCCTGAAAATATGAATCATCTCGCCTTTCAAAGAAAATGTTGATTTTGAGGAATATCCATCCATCTATTTTTCAAATTTTGCACATTATTTTTAGAATGATGACATCATTGTGTTCATCTTATATAGTGTATTACTACATCTCGTATCTTATATATATATATATATTTCTTAAAGTCCTCAGTTAATAGCTTTATTGGAAAGTAATATGAAAATAAGGAAAATGCAAATCTTGGCCTACTTTAAAAGTCTCATAGGAACCTAGGAAAAGGCACATTAAACTTGAAAGAGGAAAATAACCTAGTACACATAGATGTCACAGATGCTGAATGGAGAATGTTATTAATAATGTCACATTTAAATTGTGAAAGACTGATTTGAGAAATGTCTTTCTTGTACTTTTTTATATTTAACTCATGCAATTTCTGGGCTTTTCATGCATGCCGTGTGGATATATTCTCAGCACTCCAAGGATGACCTAACCCTTGCGTTCACCTGCAGCTTGCAAAGCTGCTTTTACTACAGCCTGGAATTTAGGGGCAATGGCTGGGCCTCTGTCATCTCTGGTGGCTCTGGGCATGTCCAGCTCTAATGGCATGGTGTACATCCAAGTTGGCTTCTGACAAAACAGAGTTCAAGCCATCTTTTCCCCCTCCCAGAAGGGGGCTGTAAACTACTTGCTATTCGGAGTCAAAAGTCCTCCTGGATGACACAATGTGGCTTCCTAGTGTTTGATGGTGTGATCATGCATGACTTTTACTGTCTTCTCAGTACTTTTTGGTGTTTTCCAAATTTTTAAACAGTGAATGTGTATTATTTCTGATGGCAAATAATAAGGGGAAACAATTATTAAAAATGAAATAAAATTCACATTGTAAATGATGTGAAAATATACAAAAATGTGTCAAGAGGAAAATAACCGCCTACGTTTAATCTTATTTCATAGACAACTTGATCACCATTATGTTCCCAGAGGGGAGGCAGGTGTGATGTGTGTATGTGTGCATGAAGGTGGCAGTTAGGAGCCTTGTTTTAAAAATCACACTGGGATGATGGTGAGGTGGGGCCCAATCTGAGATGGTTTCAGTCAGGCAGAATTCTACATTGGCTTTTCCCAAATGACTAACAGTGATCCCAACTTTATTATAAGTTGTCTTTTCTTTACTGGAATAAAATATGAAATTTATCATATATTAAAATCTTATAAGTCCTTTTATCACCTGCTCATAAAAGAATAGCTAAATTATAATAATTAGGGAGGAATTTTTTGCTATAATAATTAAAACTGTGGTGCCAACATAGAAAAGACTAATTTTATTTTGTAATTATTATATTTTAGTAATTAATTAGCTAATTGATTATGAATTAACTTGAGTGCCTTTGTTCAAGATAATTTTTATTTCCATTCCTGGGAATTGTTTGTACCTATTGTTTTGTCTGTTTTCCTGCTGCACCGGCAATCTTTTTCTTATTTAATTATAGAAGTTCTTTATATATACAGAGGAATTAGCTCTCTATGGTGAGACTTGCCAAATTTTTTCTTTTGGACATTTGTTCTATTATTTTCCTATTGTTTTTTGCTTTTTGTGTTTGCCATGCAAAAAAATGAAGTCTGATCTATCAATCTGTTATGACACCTGGGTTGTAGGGAATACTTAGAAGTCTTTCTCTATTCTGAGATTACAACATTGTGTTTGCTGTTGTTGTTGTTTGTTTTTTCTGGCAAGTTTGCTTTTTAACAGAACTTGGTTGATTGGGGAGTATGCCTATCAGTATGAAAAGAAGCTAGTTTTAAGTTCTGACTTTCCAAATTGTGTTTCATGCTATTAAAAATGTATTTTGAAGAGCAAAATTCTATAATGTGGATGAGTCCATCTTATTCTTTTCTCATACTTTGAACTTTTGATTTAAACTTAAATATTTCATGATTTTGGTACTATTATAATAATAATTTTTAAAATGTTAATATTCAATTGTTCATTCCTAGTATACAGAAATATATATATATATATATATATATATATATATATATATATATACACATATATGTTTTTAACATATATATTAATTGGCACATAGTAGTTGTACACATTTATGTGTTAGTGGGATACTTCAATATGCATATATAATGTTTAATTATGAGACCAAGGTAATTGACATTTCTATCACTTTAGACATTTATCATTTCTTTGAGCTGGGAATATTCCAAATCTTCTTTATTAGCTATTCTGAAACAATTAATTCTTGTTGGCCATAGTTATCTCTATAGAACATTAGAAAATCTTCCTCCTCTCCTGGAGCCCTATACCCATTAACCATCCTTTCTCCATCTCCCACTTCCCCACACCCTTTCCAGGCTCTGGTAACCTTTATTCTACTAGAAATAGTATTGATTTTTGAGTATTGATCTTGGTTCTGCAACCTTGCTAAGTTCCCTTCTGAATTCCAGTCATATGTTTGTGGATTCTTGGGATTTTCCACATTGTCACATTGTCTGAAAATAAAGATATTTTTATTTCTTCCTTTCCAATATGTATACCTTTTACTTTTTTCCTGCCTTATTAGACTAGCTAGTATCACTAATATGATTTTTTAATATATGTGTGTGTGTTTGTGTGTGTGTAGACACACGTATAAAAACAGAGTTTTTATATACAAAATATTGCTATTTATATACTAAACATTGCTAAGATTTTGAGTTTCATGTCCTCTGGGAATATTTGTCTACAGGTCTACAGTATTACTAACTTGTGTCTGTTTTCTTCCCCAGTCTGGTCTCAACTAGTTTTCCTCAGAATGGCTCCTCCACCTGGTGCCCAATTGAATCAGTCAGAAAGGATACTGAGGAAGAAGAAAATAAGGAAGAGGAAGAGGAAGACCAAGAAGAGGAGGAAGAAGAGGAAGAAGAGGAAGAGGAGAAAAAAATTGATCTCTTACATTCCTCTGCCGCTATGTCGCCAGACCTCCTGGAATTTGAACGGTGTGAACAGCTGGGTGGGGTGATGTTTGGACACACACAGAGCTCCTGTGGAGAAGGGGACAGAAACTCCAAGTGGAGTATGCTGTAGCCTCAATGCATGCTCAGACCAGCCTGAATTATGGGAGGGGCTTTCTTCTCAGTACTTTTTTGTGTTTTCCAAATTTTTCAACAGTGAATGTGTATTATTTCTGATGGTAAATAATCAGGAGAAACAAATATTAAAAATGAAGTAAAATTCACATTGTAAATGATGTGAAAATATACAAAAATGTGTCAAGAGGACAATAACCATGTAGGAGGGGCTGGGGTTGGGCTTGGTCTGAGGGGCTAGACACATAGTCTGGAAGCCATAACTGAAGAGCAAATACAATGTTTTTTATTTAGACTGGGTGTTTATTTGGGGCACAAGGGGAGCTTGTTGATGGTGATTATGAGGGACGAGTTCCCCCTCCCTGTACCCCACACTTTACACACACCCTACATGTCCCCTTTCAACCTCATATCTGGTCTTAACAGAGATAAAGGTGGAGGCTGGCTGGATCAGACTTCCTTTGACACAGCCTCCTCCACAGACCCAAGACCCTTCAGCAGCCTTATTGGCCTTCAGAGGCACAAGAGAAGGAGACCCAGTCCACAGCTGAGCCTGACTTATAGACCCCAGATTAAAGCAGCAGTCTATCAAGCCTGCACATTGATGGCCTCCTAATTAGAATTTGGGGGTGGGGGGGATGGATGGGAGCTTAGCAGCCACATCTCTCACCTAACATTGAGCAGAGCTTTAGGGGCAGGGCCCTGGGAAGACCTAGGGAGGGGCCCCGAGCACAAATCTCTGTCCTTGGTCCCCAAGGTGCCTTCTGCTCCCCAACAGCGGCTTCTGCCCTGAAGGGGTGGGGGCAGAGGCTTGAGGCCAAGCGCCCTGCACCCCCAGCGTGGCCCGGGCACGGTGCCTTGGCCTCTGCAGGGACAGACTCCTGAGAGGCAGCGCCTGTCCTCTTCCAGGTATCTCAACTTTTACAAGCAGACGATGGACCTCCTGACAGGGAACGGCATCGTCTCCTCGCAGGAGGTGACGCACCCCATCATCTCTGCGGCCATCTCCCACCTGTGGCAGACGCTCTCCGAGGAGAGGAAGGCCATCCTCCTGCAGACCTGGGCGCAGAAGCACGGTGGCCTCCCGGGCCTCGCGGTGGCCTGCCAGGAGCCCGTGGGTGCCGAGGGCAGTGTGAAGGACAGCGGAGTAGACAGCCAGGGGGCCAGCTGCTCGCTCATGTCCACCCCGGAGGAGGTGAGCAACCTGTGGGATAGCGGAGGACGCAGAGGAACCACTGTCACCCTCCACCCAGGGTTTGCTTGGTCATTTTGCAAGCTTGAGGTGCCATTTCTATTGCAGGTGGCACCACAGGCTTCTGATTTTCTCAGCATAATCTCCACGATCACCAAACAGTATTTCTTGTTAGTGTCCTGGCCTTTCTATAGGATTGCAGAGGGGAAGGTTAAATCCTGTGGGAATCTTTTGGCTGCCAATGACTTGATGATTAAACTATGAAAAGCCGGCAGGTGGCCTGTAATCCCAGTGGCTTGGAGGCTGAGGCAGGAGGATCCCAAGTTCAAAGCCAGCCTCAGAAATTTAGTAAGGCGCTGAGCAACTTAGGGAGGTCCTGTCTCAAAAATAAAATAAAATAAAAAGGGCTCAGTGGTAAAGTGCCCCTGAGTTTAATCCCCAGTGCAAAAAACCAACCAACCACCACCAACCACAAAAACATGAAGAAATGCACAACTCATGTCAGGGAGGTCACTGTTAATTGACCTGCTCAGTGGTGTCCCCTTGGACTCAGGTTCCTCTTTTCTCTCGGGTTTCTCATCCTTCCCTCCCCTCCCCACTTCTCTCACCCCCAGTGGTCATTCTTCCTCCTGTACACCAGGTAGAGAAAGAGTCCCTGTGAAGGCTCTTAGTTAAGGAGGAACTTTTTCCAGAAGCTTCTACCATACCTCTCCTCCCCTCTCATTGGCCCAAATTGTCCAGCTTACTGAGCCAATGGGAAAGGATGACACAAGCACCCATCAGGCACAGACCCAGAGAGGTGACCAGTTCCCAGAAAACATTGCAACCACTGGGTGAAGAGGGGGCAACCACAGCTTCCACTCTAAATGCCTTTCTCAGCTTTCCAGTAGTTAGGATGCCACAGTCCACAGATCGAGCTCCAGGTGGTGTTAGCCGTCATCCTGTTCTGAGATAGAAGCAGGCCAACAGCAGCTCCTCCAGAATTAGGAGCACTTCAAAAGCCTGCTGCTCCCATGTGAGCCCAGGCTGCTCTCACTCTGTTAGCCCAGGGACAGGCAGTTCCTTGCTCCCTGCACCTGTCCAGTGCTTTGTAGGACATTTAACATCCATGGCTATGACCCCCTTCCCCCTTGCCTTGACTATCCAAATGCCCCTCGGTGGGTGGTCCCTTTGAGGAGACAGCCATACTTGTCTCCCGTCTCTCCCTCTGTGGAGTCTTAGAACCAGAGAAGTTCCATTTGCTTCTGACCATACAGTTATAGCCCTGGAATACCCCAATCCTTCTGGAAACTTCCACAGTCATGTCCAAGTCTAGAGAACAACAGAGCTGTCACCTAGTCCTATCCTCTATTTGGCAGTCCTAGTTAGAGGTGTGATTTGTCCAAACACCCAGCTCCTACTTCAGGGATTGTATCCCTCTCATTTTCTCAAATCTCTCTGTCTGTCCTATGTGTGGATAGTCAGCCTTTCATTATCTCCCTGAATCACCCATGGAGCACAGTAAGCAGGCAGGTTCCTGGCTCCCTACCCAGATCCACTGAATCAGAATTCCTGAGGGTAGGGTTCTGGGATCCACATTTTAAAGAGCACTCCAGGTGATTGATGCACCAGGCATTATTGGCAAGACCTCCCAGAGCACATGTGCAAGTGTCCGTGGCTACTGCCTTAGACCACCCCCAATCATGAATACTCCAGTTTCCCATCTGTTTTTCCCCTAATGTAGGGTCCACCATGAGAGGATGCAGGTCCTCTATAATGGTTTAAGGAGAACCAAGTCAACCAGCAGCCCAGGATTTCATACCCAAGGCACACAGGAGAGGGGAGCCAGGGTAGATGTCTTTGTAACCCTAAGGTGCCTAGCCATTGAGTCTTGCATACACACACACACACACACACACACAGTATATATCAAAATCCTGAGTAACTGAACATGTGTGTGTGTGTGTGTGTGTGTGTGTGTGTGTGGTGTATACAAGCACCTGTGCATTTGCCAACATGAACATTTCCTCAAGGAAGAACAGCTCCAAAGAGAAACCAGACTCTAATGTCCAAATCATGGGAATGATTTGCCTGGCCTTTCTCAGAGAAGGCTGGTGCTTTTCTGGTGCTGAGGGAAACAGGCAGCAGATTCCCCCAGCCATGCCCAAGAATAGGAGCTTCCTGCCCAGGGTTTGGTCAAGCCAGGCAGGTGAGAAGGTGAGTGGAACAGAGCACACTCATGCTCAAGACAGGGCCAACCACAGCTGCTCCTCCTGTGGCTTCTACATCAGCTCTGTGCTCTTCTAGTTCAGCTTTACTGCAGCTCCTGGTCCTTCTGGAAAGGTTTAACAATTGGGTTTCTGCCAGCCCCTGTTCTCAGGGTTCTCTGCATCCAGGAGGCCCCAGTCCATTCTGCTTCAGGTCTGGGATGTGTGGTCCCTAAGTGTGGTGGGAACTCCAAAAGGAGCCTGATCTGAGTCCTTTCCAGGTTGGATCATGAGGGGGCTTTGCATACATGGAGACAACGTGTGGCCTGCAACTCTGGTTATGGAGGGGAATTTAGGTCTTGGGTCCCTGACTCAGGCCTGTTGTGAGGAGAGAGCACAGGCCTTTCTATGGCCTCTTCCAGAGCTTCTTTGAAGTAACAAAAGAAATCTAAGTAGGACATCAGAAAACTGGAAGGGACCACCCACATAGCCAGAATTCCAAGGGATTCAGTTACAGGGAAGTGAACTGAGTGAAGACATGAAGAGCTGGGCAAGAGCAGTGTCCTGGGCAGGAGTGAGGAGGGATCCTGGCAGGACCTGTAGGTACTAGGGGCCAGAGGACACCCCCTCCTCCCCTCAGGGTGATCACCAGAGTAAATAAGGTGCCAAAGAAAATAAAGCATGTCCAGCTAAACTTTTAAAATATTTTTTTCAAAAAATATCCTGTGTAATTTGGGGGGAAATTCTTATGACAAAAAAATTCTTCTTTATCTGAAATTCAAATTTAACTAGGCGTCTTGCATTTCTATTTGCTACATCCATCAATCTTAAGTGTAAATCATGTTTTTACAGAATATTTACAGATTAAAGGACCAAAAACTGTCTAAATAACCAAATTCTAAATTTGGAAGCATATCGTCATTATCCTTATATTGCTACTAGCAGTCCTTGTCATTATCATTATATAATATGCCTGGGGAAATAACTGAAGAGAAGTGGATTGATATAGCAACAGCAGGTATCTCTGATGGATTCTTAATGATTCTTAGATTCCTTATCTGTTTCTATTTTCTAGAATTTCAACAACACTGTTTTGTTTATAAAGCAGATGATATTCAATACAGCCAACATACTGAGCCATTATTTTGTGTCCGGTGTATGACCTGAATTCTTGCAACAACCCTGAGTAGGTCACATTGCTAGCTCAGTCTATTTTGCGCTGCTGTAGCAGAATCCCTGAGACTGGGTAATGTATAATGACCAGAAATTTGTTGGCTTATAGTTCTGGAGGCCAGCAATCTATTATCAGTGTGCCGACATCTAGCAAGGACCTCCCTGCTGCACCGCACATACTGGAGAAGGGAGGTGGGGAGAGACAGAGAGGTTCAGATGAGACTTTCCAGCCTGTAAACAGGATCGGGTCTGCTGCCACCTCCCATGCCTGAGCCACTCTCTTCTTTAGAAAGATGAGACAGTCCCAGTACTTCCTCTCTCTCAGCCATCTCCAGGGCTGGCAGTTTGTCCCCGGCAGTGAAGAGCTTAATGTTCAGCTCTGGGGAAGATTATGAAGCAGAGACCCTGAGTTTGGACCCCAGCTTTGACACTTGTGCATTTTGCGGATGAGTGTACAAAGAAAGCCTTTCTACTCTCTGCCCAGCAGCCTCGCCAGTGTCAAGCTGAGAAGTTATTTCTGACTTAAGGGGTTCTGTGCTTTCTTTCAGCTCCTTTTTGAAGACGCCTTTGATGTGGCAAGCTTCCTGGACAAAAGTGAGGCTCCCAGTACCTCCAGCCCTAGGTGAGAAGATGGTGTGAGACAGCATGAGCAAGTGTGAGTTGGTGTGCAACTGTGTGAGTGAGTATGAGATTGTGGAGCATGTGGGTGTGTGTGTGTTACATGAATGAGTGTGCACGCATGTGTGTATGTCTACGCATGTGCACCCCTGCTGGGCATTTCCTGCCTTTCCCCTGCAGCTCCCAGATGGGTGCAAGTTCTCAGGGACCCACTTTTTCCCTGTGATTGAAGTGGACTGATCCTAGGATTGTACTGTCGCTTTGGGGATGACATTGTCTGGGGCATCCTCAGAGGAGAGAATCTTCTGTCCTGGCCCAGGGCTAGAACACACCAGGTTATCAGCCCCAGGTTATGTAAATGCACCTGTTTCCTTTGGTGGGTTTCCCAGTATGTCTTAGTCCTGCTTCAGGCTGATCTAGCCTTGCTTACAAGATCATTATTATACAAAATACCAAAACCCAGCTGGTTTATAAACAACAGCATTTATTGCTCACAGTTCTAGGGAGCCGGAATTCCAAAGTCAAGATGCTAGCAGATTCAGTCTAGTGAAGGCCATTTCTCATAGGAGGCATCTTCTCAATGTCACCGTATCTTTTTTTTTTTTTTTTTTTTTTTCAGTATAAAGTTCAGTTTTTTTTTTTTTTAATTTTTTATTGTGGGTTGTTCAAAACATTACAAATTTCTTGACATATCATATTCCACACTTTGATTCTAGTGGGTTATGAACTCCCACCTTCACCCCATACACAGATTGCAGATTCACATCAGTTACACATCCATTGATTTACAAATTGCCATACTAGTGTCTGTTGTGCTCCGCTGCCTTTCCCATCATCCACCCTCCCCCCTCCCCACCTCTCCCCTCCCCTCCCCTCCTCTCTCTCTACCCCCTCCACTGTATAACCCTGAGGGTCTCCTTCCATTACCGTGCAATTTACCTTCTCTCTCCCTTTCCCTCCCACCTCTCATCCCTGTTAAATGTTAATCTTCTTCTCCTGTTCTTCGTCCCTACTCTGTTCTTACTTACTTTCCTTATATCAAAGAAGACATTTGGCATTTGTTTTTTAGGGATTGGCTAGCTTCACTTAGCATAATCTGCTCTAATGCCATCCATTTCCCTGTAAATTCTATGATTTTGTCATTTTTTAATGCAGAGTAATACTCCATTGTGTATAAATGCCACATTTTTTTTATCCATTCGTCTATTGAAGGGCATCTAGGTTGGTTCCACAGTCTTGCTATTGTGAACTGTGCTGCTATGAACATCGATGTAGCAGTGTCCCTGTAGCATGCTCTTTTTAGGTCTTTAGGGAATAGACCAAGAAGGGGAATAGCTGGGTCAAATGGTGGCTCCATTCCCAGCTTTCCAAGAAATCTCCATACTGCTTTCCAAATTGGCTGCACCAATCTGCAGTCCCACCAGCAATGTACAAGTGTACCCTTTTCCCCACATCCTCGCCAGCACTTGTTGTTGTTTGACTTCCTAATGGCTGCCAATCTTACTGGAGTGAGATGGTATCTTAGGGTGGTTTTGATTTGCATTTCTCTGACAGCTAGAGATGTTGAGCATTTTTTCATGTACTTGTTGATTGACTGTATGTCCTCCTCTGTGAAGTGTCTGTTCAGGTCCTTGGCCCATTTGTTGATTGGGTTGTTTGTTCTCTTATTGTCTAATTTTTTGAGTTCTTTGTATACTCTGGATATTAGGGCTCTATCTGAAGTGTGAGGAGTAAAGATTTGTTCCCAGGATGTAGGCTCCCTATTTACCTCTCTTATTGTTTCTTTTGCTGAGAAAAAACTTCTTAGTTTGAGTAAGTCCCATTTGTTGATTCTAGTTATTAACTTTTGTGCTATGGGTGTCCTATTGAGGAATTTGGAGCCCGACCCCACCGACTGTAGATCGTAGCCAACTTTTTCTTCTATCAGACGGCGCGTCTCTGATTTGATATCAAGTTCCTTGATCCATTTTGAATTCACTTTTGTGCATGGCGAGAGAAAGGGATTCAGTTTCATTTTGTTGCATATGGATTTCCAGTTTTCCCAGCACCATTTGTTGAAGATGCTATCCTTCCTCCATTGCATGCTTTTAGCCCCTTTATCAAATATAAGATAGTTGTAGTTTTGTGGATTGGTTTCTGTGTCCTCTATTCTGTACCATTGGTCCACACGCCTGTTTTGGTACCAGTACCATGCTGTTTTTGTTACTATTGCTCTGTAGTATAGTTTGAAGTCTGGTATCGCTATACCGCCTGATTCACACTTCTTGCTTAGCATTGTTTTTGCTATTCTGGGTCTTTTATTTTTCCATATGAATTTCATGATTGCTTTCTCTATTTCTACAAGAAATGCCATTGGGATTTTGATTGGCATTGCATTAAACCTATAGAGAACTTTTGGTAATATCGCCATTTTGATGATGTTAGTTCTGCCTATCCATGAACAGGGTATATTTTTCCATCTTCTAAGATCTTCTTCTATTTCTCTCTTTAGGGTTCTGTAGTTTTCATTGTATAAGTCTTTCACCTCTTTTGTTAGGTTGATTCCCAAGTATTTTATTTTTTTTGAAGATATTTTGAATGGAGTGGTTGTCCTCATTTCCATTTCAGAGGATTTGTCGCTGATATACAGGAATGCCTTTGATTTATGCGTGTTGATTTTAAATCCTGCCACTTTGCTGAATTCATTTATTAGCTCTAATAGTTTCTTTGTAGAGCCTTTTGGGTCTGCTAGATATAGAATCATATCATCTGCAAATAGTGATAATTTAATTTCTTCTTTTCCTATTTTTATGCCTTTAATTTCTTTCGTCTGTCTAATTGCTCTGGCCAGTGTTTCGAGAACTATGTTGAAGAGAAGTGGAGAGAGAGGGCATCCCTGTCTTGTTCCAGATTTTAGAGGGAATGCCTTCAGTTTTTCTCCATTCAGAATAATGCTAGCCTGAGGCTTAGCATAGATTGCTTTTACAATATTGAGGTATGTTCCTGTTATCCCTAGTTTTTCTAGAGTTTTGAACATAAAGGGATGCTGTACTTTGTCAAATGCTTTTTCCGCATCTATCGAGATGATCATATGGTTCTTATTTTTAAGTCTATTGATGTGGTGAATAACATTTATTGATTTCCGTATATTGAACCAGCCTTGCATCCCAGGGATGAATCCTACTTGATCATGGTGTACAATTTTTTTGATATGTTTTTGTATCCGATTCGCCAGAATTTTATTGAGGATTTTTGCATCTAGGTTCATTAGAGATATTGGTCTGTAGTTTTCTTTCTTTGAAGTGTCTTTGTCTGGTTTAGGTATCAGGGTGATGTTGGCCTCATAGAATGAATTTGGAAGTTCTCCCTCCTTTTCTATTTCCTGAAGTAGCTTGAAAAGTATTGGTATTAGTTCTTCTTTAAAGGTTTTGTAAAATTCTGCTGTATACCCATCGGGACCTGGGCTTTTCTTAGTTGGTAGTCTTTTGATGGTTTCTTCTATCTCCTCAATTGATATTGGTCTGTTTAGGTTTTCTATATCCTCCTGACTCAATCTGGGCAGATCATATGACTTAAGAAATTTATCTATGCCTTCACTATCTTCTAATTTATTGGAGTATAAGGATTCAAAATAGTTTTTGATTATCTTCTGTATTTCTGAAGTGTCTGTTGTGATATTGCCTTTTTCATCCCGTATGCTAGTAATTTGAGTTCTCTCTCTTCTTCTCTTCACTAGCATCGCTAAGGGTCTGTCGATTTTGTTTATTTTTTCAAAGAACCAACTTTTAGTTTTGTCAATTTTTTCAATTGTTTCTTTTGTTTCGATTTCATTAATTTCAGCTCTGATTTTAATTATTTCTTGCCTTCTACTTCTTTTGCTGTTGTTTTGCTCTTCTTTTTCAAGGATTTTGAGATGAAGTATGAGATCATTTATTTGTTGGTTTTTTCTTTTTTTAAGGAATGAACTCCAAGCAATGAATTTTCCTCTTAGAACTGCTTTCAA